TAATATACTTCAATTCTGGAGAAAAGACTTCAAAATATAGTGAACGAAATGGGGGGAAAGCACGTTAAATCAAACTATCTTCTCTAATCTGCAACAAGACCACCAATAGTCATAAAAAATGAAGAGAAAAGGAAGGCAAAGATAACATCAAATATCTATTCTTGTTCAACTTTTCAACCAGCTTTCAGCCTACTGGTAAGTCCATTAAGTAAATGTTTAAGTAAGTATCAACAATAGAAAGCAAAAAAAAAATGACATTAGCTATTTAGCTATCCAGGTAAATAGTAAACTGAAAGACTACCATAATTATGTCTGAAAAATTGACTCGTTCATCATGTTACTTGAAAAAAAAAAATCACAAAACCAGAGAATTGGAATAGTTCAGACAGAGTCCATGTCTTTGTTTTGAGGCATAAGTTTAAATCAGTATTTTTCAAACTAGGCAACTTTAAGATGCTGGCTAGGGAATTCTGGGAGTTGGAAGTTAAAGTTGTCAAGTTTGAAAAACACTAGTCTAAATTAAAGCACTATGTATCTGGCATCTATTTTAACATATCCAGCTACCACCTCCATTAATCTGTTTAGTTCTTACATTTCTATACATATTCTATTTATTTCACCATCCTTATATATTACTTACATGCTAAATTTTAGATAATTCATAGAAATAACCAATGTATTAAACCATATAAAACCAGCCACTAAAATAAGTAATACGAAATTAAACACAATGTTCACAATTGCAAACTGAATAAAAACGCTAAGCTCATAAATGTACATACTGTTCAAAAAGCTTTTTAGAAATGCCCTTATGTCATAATTTATGATGTCACCCAGATTTCAGGAGAAGCTTGATTCAGAAGGATGAAGCTGCCATTAAAAAGATTGGAATTCAGCCTTTCAATCCCCGTCTCCTGAGGGAAGGAATCTGTAATGTCCCCAATTGGGCTGAATTCTGTTTGGAGAAGATGGCCCGAAAATTACGGTTACCATTAGAAAGCTCTTTTCCCCCTTAAAACTCAACTGAAATTTGCTTTTCTGTAATTTAAGCAATATTCCATGTCTTGTATAATGATATGACTGAATTTATTTCGATAGAAAACAATAACCTTTTTCTATATGGCACTTCCCTATTCTCAATCTGTTTTTGTTTAAAGCTAAACGTATCTATCTTCTCAAACTGTCTTCATTGGATTTAGCCAAGTTTCTCTAAATCTTCATTTCAAGCAACAAATTAATTTCAGCCTGAGAACATTTTAAAATTTAAAATTGATTAAGTAAACTTGAGAACATAAATAATGCAGATACACACACCCATGCAATATAAAATCACATATAATTTGTAAATTAAATATTAAGTTGCATCTTCCATCTATAATTAGCTAGAAATATGGGAATTGTACAAAAATTAATATTAAACAAAATGACTAGAAAAAAAGAACTTATTATATGAGATACCAAGAACCTCACTGAATTGATAAAGTATCTTAAAAAAAAACATTTAATAGCTGACATTTCTTTCTTCTCACTGCATGACTCTTTTATAAAAGTCCAAGTGGAAACTGGAGTTGATTCAGTCTTTTTGTCTAAATGAAGGTTGATGTAGCCACATGATAAACTCTGGACTCTATGTGAACTTAAATTTTAGAAGAAGAGTGTTGTCTTACCTGAATGGCTCTTCTCAGTGGCTGCATCTACAAAAATGTGTGTGTGCGTGTTCCATTTCATATTTAATCCTAACACTTTCTTAAATTATTGGTAAGATATTAAATACTACCTCTAATATTATCATTAAAATAATTTTGCTACTGTTACATTCAACCTAAATGCAACTAAAGCTATTAAATGTTTTTCTTCCTGTAATGTGACTTGCAACTATTATAAATATCTATTTTGTTCAATAAAGGTTTACAGTAAGTCCCTTTATATACATATTTCAAGGAAATATTTAGAACAGCCTTTTCCAATTTGATGTTATTCATACATACTGAAATTATAACAGAAAGAAGGGCATACATAGCAGTAGTAATCAACACACTGCAGAAAGATGTCCAATGTTCTATTAAAAAATGAAACTGGGATGTCTTTGAAGTGTTTTTTTTAAGACAAATATCTTTTCCACTATTAGAAAGAAGCCAGAATGAGAAAACTGTAACAATATCATATAGGCAAGCCAAAGGTTTAAAAAGCCCATGAATATGTAATAATATTTGAAAAAAATGCCAGTCATGACCTTAAATGCTTGCCTAATTCAATAATGAAAATGATACTCAAGGTTTTAATCTTCTTATATGCACAATATACAGAAGCATAGTGCATTTGAAAAGAGAGAGAACTGGCATGGAAAAGTCTGCTGCATATGTGAGAAAAATGCCACATTCATGCATTATTTAATTTTGTATTTACTGTTTCATTGTGTAATATTTTATGTGTATTATTATTGCTATTACCTGTCTTGAGCACTGTATGAGTGGAAAGGGCTTGTAAATATTAGATGAGTTCTTCCATGCTTCTTTTACAAATATCCAACTTACTTTTAATTAATTACAAAGTGGCATCACTTTGTACAATTGTGCTTTAAATTTGCTGATATTAGGCCCTACACTGGATTGTTTCATTAAAAATTATAAATCTGACTCTAGTTTGACTATTGTATTGACACTGGTGAAAACACAACTGAATCATGATTAGTACTGAAGCTGATCCAGTAGCGCTACACCATAAAGTTAAATGGAAAATGAGAGTTCATGCCTGATAAGGAAGTATTTAATTCCATACTGAACTTCAGGAAACATGAAGTACTTTACATGTACTTTATGTAAAGTATGGGGGGGGGGGGTGCGTGTGCGTAAGTTGTATATAACAAGTGAAAACATAAAATATTGAGGAAATGCAGGTAGTCCTTGACTTACAACAGTTTGTTTAGTGTTCACTTATAACACTGAAAAAATGACTTATGACCATTTTTCACTCTTATGATCATTGTAGCATCCCATGGTCATGTGATCAGGATTGACACACTTGACAACTGACTCATACTTAGGACAGTTGCAGTCTCTCAGGGTCATGTGATCACCTTTTGAAATCTTCTGACAAGGAAAGTCAAGGGGGAAGCCAGATCCACTTAAAATCCTGTCTTCCTTAACATTTGCAGTGATTCACTTAACAATTGTGGCAAAAAAGGTTGTAAAATACGACAAAATTCACTTACCAATTGTCTCACTTAACAACAGAATATTGAGGCTCAGTTGTAGTTGGAAATCAAGGGCTACATGTATTTTAAATTTAATGGAATCAATCTGCCAACAGCAAACTTAAGAAAATAGCAATATTTAAGAAGCCTTTTCTTTTATATGTTTAACAACAGACTAACAAATGATCAATCATTGTCTGCTGCTATATTGTGACACATTGTTGATGAATTTAATGTTCTTTACAGATAGTTATAATTTTCTATGTCCTTATGTAATTTAAATGTTGATGCAAACGAAGAGAATCGTTTATTTCATTCAGCAAACATGCAAAAGAGGATTTACAGGTACACCAGTTTTCTATAATAAATATTGGGAATATATTCTGAAGAATAATATCAAAATGTATGAGAACAATGAAAATAAGCCTGCTTTAAATTATGCATCAGATACACCAATCCAATCTCATACCTTTATTCAGAGAAAATGTTTCAATTAATTTAATCTTGTAACAGCAAGATTTTCAGCAGTTTGCAAAACTTTTCTTATTTTACTGCATTAGAAATATTAATGTACAATCTGTTATTGCAGCAGGTGTGGATAGGATACACACTTAAATCACTTTGCCTTTTATATCAAAAGTAAAAGGAGTGAGATACTGAAATATTCAACACCAGTAACAACTGTGGCTAAGCCAGTATTTTAGTATTTCTAAATTAAAATTCGGTATTTATTATAATATCTTAAGATGCATGTTTCTATTGTGAATTCAAGTTATATTTATACCTTAGAAACAAATTTCAAAGAGAATAAAATTTCAGAAAGATGCCACATTAATCACAACGGCTTCTCCACTCCACATACACAAATTAAAACATATGGTTTAAAAAGGTATTTTTAACTAGCACTGAAAAAAACTTAAGAACAGAAACGGTTACAATCTGAACACAAGCAAGCGTCCTGCTGGCAGAGAACGGGCTTCTAGGACAATTTACGGAGTACAAGAGTAATAGAGAGCGTAGCAAAAAGAGGGAATGGGGTTAACAAACTTCCAGACAACTTCTAGGGGAAAAGGGCCGCCTCAAGGCCGGGCTCCAAATCGCAGCCATGCGGACTCCAAGCGAGGCACAACAAGGCCAGGATCAGGGACTTAAGTTCTCCTGCTTGACGGGCCTCAAATCAGACGAAAGACAGGCTGGGTGGGGCACCACCTCCCAAGAAGCAGCTCGGGCCTGCCCGCTCTAAAGCATCCCAGCGCGGACCTGGGGAGAGTCTCCTTCAGCCTAAGGAGGGGGAAAGCTACCTACTGAGAAGGAGGTAGGCCAGCCTCGGCCTCTTACCTGAAGTCCTTGTCACTCGACGTCATTTTCTCCAGCAGGTTGGAAATGTGGTAGGAGGCACTCGCCATGATGATGGTCCCGGTGAGGGAAGCGTTTGGCCGGCTCCACGTCGCCTAGTGCTGTGTGCGGGGGAAAGAGAAGGTGAAACGGGGGGAGCGAGGGCTCTGCCTGGCAAGAGACTGGCGGCGCCTGTTTGGCGGCGACGAGCCGTGCTTTCCCCGAGGCTTTCCCCGAGGCGGGGGTGGTAGGGCGCGATGACGGGAGGATTAGCGCGCGCGCTGTGGGGAGATCAGTATCATCGCCAGCGGCTGCTACTCGCGCGGGAAAAGGCGAAGGACAATCGCGAACGATCTCGCTCAGGCGAATGGAGGCGGACGTAAAGTCCCACCGTCTGTTGCCTCGCGCGAGGACCTAAGGTCAGGGTTCAAAGAGGGCCTCGCCAACGTCGCTCTTCCGAGCCTCCGATTGGCTTGCCGTGACCGCGTAGGTGGCTCATTTCGCGTGACGCTGGCGACCTACGCGACGCAGAGCTGCGCGAGCGGGTTGGTTAGAAAGCAAGAGGGGAGGAAGCGGATTCAGCGCCAGGCTTTTGATGTCTTCGGGAGAAGCAGAGTTTAGAGTTTGGAAACCTTGGGAGGGGGGGGGGAGCCTTTTTGGTGCCATGAAAATAAGGCAATATGATTTAAATTATGAACTATCATTTTAGATACGGACGCAGTGCATAGTACTTTTATAATTGTATTTAAACTGAGCCACTTTATTATATTATTTTCTTTATTTTTAATCTCTCCTTTATTATTACAAATAACTGAATATCCAAACGCACCTTCCTCTTCCTATTTTCCTCCTGACAACAACCCTGTGAGGTGAGCTGGGCCGAGAGTGACTGGCCCAAGGTCATCCAGCCATTTCATGGCTAACGCAGCATTCTAGAACCCTGGTCTCCTGGTTTCTAGCCTGGGGCATAACCACTAAAACAACAGGTAAATACGATGTATAAATACTTTTATAATTGTAAACAGAGGCACTTTGTTATCTTATATACACTGCAGTATTAAAATGCAGGCTATAAAGTTTAAAATAAAACCAATTAAAAATATTTTAAAAGAGTGAGTATGAATAGTGAAGTGACAGTATTAAATTATATGCTGAATTTTTCTGTTTTTCCTCTTAATAGGGCTGAGATATTTGTTTTGTACTCTATAGTATATGGTGTTAAACTATGTTTTATTTAACCTTAGTTTGACTGGGTTCACAAAGTACACTAAGCTACAAACCGTAGTGGCTGGGTTTATATAATACGAAAATAAGGAGACCTTAGCCAATACTATCTACCTGAAACTGATGTCCTAGCCAAATCACAGAATTGGTTTCTTGCTCAAAAACAAATATGAATTTGAATTGTTTCCCTTCAGATTTGTTATAATCGTGGAGACTGCTTAGTTCCCCTATATAGAGCCGAGGTGGCACAGTGGTTAGAGTGCAGTACTGCAAGCTACTTCAGCTGACTGCTTAGCTGCAGTTCCGCAGATCGAATCTCACCGGCTCAAGGTTGACTCAGCCTTCCATCCTTCAGAGGTAGGTAAAATGAGACCCAGATTGTTGGGGGCAATATGCTGACTCTGTAAACCGCTTAGAGAGGGCTGTAAAAGCACTATGAAGCAGTATATTAAGTGCTATTGCTATATGGCTGAGCATCCCACTGAAACAGAAAAAAAATAGCTTTAGCATAGTGAATAAACCCTGTTACAATAGGTTGGCCCTAAATCATCTGATTGATTAATGATCTAAACCTTTTCTCCATCTCTGCTAAAGAACAGAATACAAAAGGGTAAGTCTTTGTAAACTGCACTTCCTATATAGACTGCTTTTTTCCCCACAACAACCCTGGGAGGTGGATGGACTGAGAGTGAACAACTGGGTCAAGGTCATCCAGTTGGCTTTCATTGCTCAGGTATGTGTGTGTGTATACACAACACACACATAATATAAATTAGTCAAAAGATTCAGTTTTTGTTTCCTAATTCCAGCTAAATATTATGGCTACATATGTTTTGAACATGTGCTTGAATAATGAAACATCTTTTTAAAGTTGCTTTAAGAAGCCCTTGTTGACTCAAAACAGTGAAACTGCTTTGCTTCTATGGCTTCAATAATCAAGTGGTAATAACTTAAAGCAAGTACCGTTTCCCCCCGAAAATAAGACACTGTCTTATATTTTTTTGAACCTCAAAATAAGCGCTTGGCCTTATTTTCAGGGAGGTCTTATTATTTTGGGGTGCATGGAGGAAACCAGAGGAAATGGGGACCAGCTGCTCATGCGTTTAAATATTTTCGGAGTGGGCTTATTTTCAGGGGGGGGCTTATTTTAGTGCATGTGCTCAAAAGCCCAATTGGGCTTATTATCAGGGGATGTCTTATTTTAGGGGAAACGGTAAAAGTTTAAACACTCATTTAATAGGCAGCAGAAAAGGAAGAGAAACAGCTTTAAAGAAAAATACCTCAAATTCTATGTAAACTGTTTGTACTATGTTATTAAACAAAAAATTAATTATAATCAACTAGTCTTTTAGAGTATATGAAAGAATATAACACTTGCTGTACAGAAAGAAAGTTCTGCAACACTGTAACAGAAAATGAAGTGATAAGAGCAGAGATAACACAAATAGAAGAACTCAAAGTTTATTATTTTGCAACAGAAAAAAAACTATCACCAAAATAAAAATATATCAAAAATATATATCTGACAAAATGCCTTCAGTTTTACCACAACTTCCTTCAGCTCATTCAGTAGCCAGAAAAAGCTTCAGCCCTGTGTTACGTTTTATTTGCCAAAGAGTTTAACACCTTTTTAGGCATGTTATGTTATTGATGACATGGCATGTAACATCTCCATGCTGCAAAGGACATCTCGGAGACAAATTTGGCTATCCTGTATAGGCCTATTGAAAATGGTGGTGTATTTAAATGAGGTTAACTAATGCTAACATAATGTATTATACCACCCTATATAAACACTAGGATCCAGCTTCAGTATCCTTTATCAAAAATATAGACAAGAAGCAAACCAAAATGTAAACAAATGATTAGACGTAATTATGGTGGTTTTATCTTGAATTTATTTTTCATTCCCTTTTCCTTCCCGGGCCAAGATGACATTTACTTAAAGTTCTTTCATTCCTTCTTCAAGGTTGTCTTTGCTACATATGTATATATTTGTTTATAACTTTTGGATATCTATAAAGATTCTATCTGTTCTCTGTCAAGTGTATGTTAATTTTTGATTATAAAATTTATTAAATAAAATATATTACCACTTGATTCATATTTATTCTGAGTGCCTTTCTCCATAGTTCTGTTAGTGATAGCTATCCAATCTTTTGCTGGCAGAAAACTACTGTTCTCATTGCCCATCTCTAGTCATACCATATTAGAAGCAAATGATGAAATTTCCTAAGCCATAAAGCAGCAAACCATACTGAGTATGTTTGTGTGGCATAGCACAAATAACCAAAGTGAGTATTGAACTGGCCCCCAAATGATTACAGAAACCGAAAGCTGCTGTAGATAGATTTAGTAAAGCTGTTTTTGTAGGTATTATATCTAAAATGCTTTGGGGAAAAAATCTCAAGTGACAATTGGATTTTTCTTCATCTCTTGTTGACATTCTTTCACCCATATACCATTACACCTATAGAGAGATCCCATTTTTACAGATATTTTTGGTTATTGTTTCTTTCCCCAGAATCCAAAAAAGGTATATCTTTCTTAAAGTTTGGACAAAACACTAATAAGTTGAGCTAGGTTACCTTAGAACTAACTATTGATGTAATGTATGGTTAAGGTATCTCCTCTTTTCCCCCAAAACATTAAGCGTTAGGTTGGTACCTAAAATTTCCTAATTATTTCAATATGATGTGAAAGTAAAGCCTCTCCATGTCTTGTAAATTGGTCATGAGTTCAAACTATCATAATATAAAGTATAAGTTAAAATATCACTGCTAACATGGTATGAACAAACAGCAAATAATCTTTATTTTTCTTCTATCCAAAACCCAAAAAGAACAGAGCAATCTGCCAAATGTTCAGTCCAAGCAGAGGTGTCGGATGAGAGGGAGCAAATGATGAAAACAGACTTGAGAATTTGTGACACAAATTCTTCCCTTTCTTTATGTGCATCAGTATCACGTACACATATGATAGGACAGAGCTGCATGGGACACCATGAAAGCATGATGCTGCTTCTGTCAGTTTAATGAAACCATTAGATCCTATGGATACTTCTGCACTCAAGTCTTCATTTACTTCTCTGTGCAACTGTCTAAGGGACAAGATTAAGGGGAAGTAGAAAGATTCCATGCAGAAGAGGCGAATTGGAAAGGAATCTCCTCTGATAGATACTTTTTTTCGCCTTTCTCATTTCAGGAAACAGTTGTTAAAATATTCAGATTTTAATTTTTTAAAGTATGTTTCTCCCATCCAATTGAGTTTGGTGGAGAAACTGGTATTAAATGTAAACAAATCTAGCATTATCATTGAGTCTTTAAGATAATAACTATGACAATTACAAACAATTCTTATGTTAAGGGAACCTGGCTATAGCAAACTATCTAAACAAATACTTCTGCTCAGTCTTTTCAGAAGTAGATGCTGGTAACAAAAACAGGTTGGAGGATCATACTAGTCCTAGCAGTGCAGGTTCTTTTTCAGGGTTTTTAGAGATGAAAATGGCAGGTGAGCTAGCCCTTTTAAAACTTAATAAAGCAATGAATACAGATGGTATTCATCCCAGAGTTCCAAGGGAACTTTTAGGTGTATTTGCTGGACTATTAACATCTGTTTAAGCAGTCTCTAGAAGACCTACAAGGTCCCTTCCAACTCTGTTTATCTAAAAGTAAAGTTCCCAATGACTAGCGGACAGTTAATATTGTACCCATCCACAAGATGGGTGCTAGGGAAGGAGCTGGAAACTATAGGCTAATGAGCTTAGCATCCGTAATAGTGAAAGTAATGGAATCACTCCTGTAAAAAAGGATTAATGAACATTTAAAAGCATACAACGTGATGGACCCAAAGCAGAGTGACTTTACTGAGTGCAGATCATGTCAATCTAATCTGATTGCCTCCTTTAACTATGTCACAAATATTATGGGTGAAGGTGGTGTTGTCTATCTGGATTTTAGCCTATCTGGATTTTAGCAAAGCATTTGATACAGTTCCACATAATGAACTCATTAAAAAAGTTGGTCAGGCGGGGCTGAGTGGTTAAGTGGACAGGAAATTGGCTCAGGGATAGATCCTGTGTGTAATTGTCAATGGGTCACTGTCTGAACAGAGACCAGTCACTATTCTGTCCAATGTGTTTGTAAGTGATATAACAGACGGATTGCCAGGTAAAGTTTGTCTTTTTTGCTGATAATACAGGTAGTCCTCGACTTACAACCACAATTGAGCCCAAAATTTATATTGCTAAGTGAGACATTTGTTAAATGAGTTTTGCCCCATTTTACAACTTTTTGACATAGTTGTTAAGTTATGGGGTGTCAAACTCATGACACATCATGTGACGTATCACAACTTTTCCCCCCTTCATTAAACTGGCAGTGGGTGTGGCCATTGCGTGATGCATCTGGGCTGCGGGCCGCGAGTTTGACATCCCTGTATTAAGTGAATCATTGCAGCTCTTAAGTTAGTAACTCCATTGTTAACTGAACCTGGATTCCCCACTGACTTTGCATGTCAGAAGGTCACAAAAATCGATCACATGATCCTGGAACATTGCAACATCATAAATATGAAGCAGTTGCAAGTGTTTGAATTTTGATCACATGGCCATGGGGATGTTGCAATGGTCGTAAGTGTGAAAAACTCATAAGTCACTTTTTTAATGCCATTGTAACTTTGAACGTTCACTAAATGACCTGTTGTAAGTCAAGGACTACCTGTACAAAGGTGTGTGATAGAGTTCACATTCCTGAGTGTATTCATAAAATAGAAAACAATTTGGTATTGCTGAAAAATTGGCCAAAAATGTGGAGACTACAGTTCATTGTTTCTAAATGTAAGATCATGCAAAGGGGGGCAAAGAAACCTCTGGCAAAGTACAGTATCAGGGGGTACAGTGTTAGACAGAACAGAAGAAAAGGATTTAGGTGTGCTCAGTGTAACCAGGCAGCTGTGAGGGCAAACAAAAATCTGGGAGTAGAGGAATCGCCAGGAGAAAAAGGAGATCCTAATCCCACTATATGGGGTTTTAGTCAGACCCCATTTGAAATACTGTAATGTGTCCAGTTCTGGAGACTTATCAGGAGACATTGGCACAGTGGTGAAATCTAGCCGGATCTATCCAGCTCACACAATCTGGTAGGGACAGCGGCGGGAGGCTCCGCCCACCTGCCCAGACGTCATCATGTCCCATTTTTGGCCCTCTGTGCATGCACAGAAGTCTCTGTGCATGTGTGGAGGTGCGTGCGAGCTCACATTTGCGATCCCTGGATTGGAGGAATAAATGATTGAAACTTAAATATATTAAGGGTGTGAATAAGGTTCTAGAAAGTGGCATTCTCAATACTGAGCAG